ATCTTAGATGCTCTTCCTTTGGCCAGAATGAATAAAAGATGAAATATATACAATTTTAATATTAGTAATAGTACTTAATGCAGTGTGGGAGAAAAATACAGAAATCGATTAGAAGTAACATGCGCTTTTTAAACCGCCCGGATAACGTTTACTTAACCAAATCTTTTTATCTTCAGTTTTACACATAGACTGTAAATTAGGAAAGCACTAAATGAGTTATGATGTCACAGAAGCTGATGTGAACATGAGTTAGCTGGACCCAAAACAGGGGCAGACGTGTTGCTAAGATGGTTGCTAAGGCAAGCTGGGGATTCCTTCGTGAATTACGGCATATAAGGATGAATCAGAGACAATATCAAAACACAAACACCAGGATTGAAGACGGCTAAACCACATATTACTTAAAACCCAAAATGGTGACTGATCTAGAGGAGTTGACTTTACATGTGAGTCAATAGGAACCAGAAAGAGTCAGAGCAAAACTTTGGCCATGAGCACTTCCCTATTGGCCGTCATTGTGCGAGGGCTTAGCATTGTTAGCATCTACAGTCTCTGAACTGTAGATGGAGTCTTTCGAACCATATTATAATTATCCGAGTATCACCTGTATGTTGTCTACAGTCTACAGTATTTTAAGCTAAAATAAACAGCTGATCAAAAAAGAGGTATTTTTTCTTTACTTTATTAAATGCAGTGTGATTATTTATTATGTATGAACTGTGGTATCATATGGACATCTCAACACCTTGTAGCTCTAACTGAAAGCCCATATTTTGATGGTTCTACAATTAAACAAAAAAGTTTTCACCAAGAACATGTTCCACATACTTTTAAATATATACACGGCCGTCTCTCATGACCTCAATCATCGAAAGTCTTCACCAGTCACCGGCCGACATTGTCTCTTCATTTATTATTGATTCACTTTTTTACTTTCAGACAATGGCCTTTCTCACCTCAATTCACTGAACACAACGTTTTTTAACCCAGACAGCCATACGACTCAGAACAAAGAATAACGAAACAGCAATGCTTAAATATCCAGCTAGAATCCATTTGTTACTCACCCAAAACAGGAAGCTGAAGAAAAAGAGAAAGTATCGGATCCAGGGGTTGACGAAGGAGAATGTCTCGGCCCGTTTGAGGTTTAAGTCTCTGTCCATGGTCCCGTTTGTTTACACTTCTGTGCCTGGTCGATGTCTCCACTCTGCCGCCATGAGAGCAGTGAGGGTCGCGGCTACAGGCTAAAAAAAGCGGCTTCTCTCGACTGTGAGCAGCAGCAGGTTGGATTACAGCAGGATGTTTGGAGGCCTGGCAGCTTTGCAGGGCATTGTATAAGCCGTGTGCTCTTTTCAGACGCGCTTTTGCTGAATCACTGTTTCAGCAACATGAGGTATAATTAACAACTCTTTTGTTATGAGGAAGTGTAGAAATGTAGCTCTTTGGCTGTTGTTGAGAAATTACAAAGACATTTTAATAAGAGGCTGGTGTGATGTCTGTATACAGCCCTGCCTGCTGCACCAACCGAATAAATAAAAACCTCCAAGTTTGATAAATATTAATGTATTACCATTTAAATAAAGGACACCCACAATTTGACATTGCATTATTCATTCTCTCCACACAAAAGGCGGGTGAGCTACTATCGCTGCCACAGCTGGGAAAGACTGAAGCAAGGCTGCCAAAATAGAAATTAATTCATTTTGTATCAAAATCGTCTCGAGAGGTTCCACAGAAACGCAGACTCTTCGACAACAGACTCGGGACTGATCCACAAGACCAGGACCAGGACCAGGACCAGGACCAGGGAGTCAAAGTCCAGGGTTTCAGGGTATCAGTGAAATCATGAAACAAGAGGGATGACGAGTGAATCCTTCTAGTAAAAGAAGTCGAACATTAATGGTTGAGGGGAAGGACATTAATACTTGTCCTCTGCATTTGACCCGTCCTTCAGGGCCGCTCCAGGGGTGCATCTCCCAATGTTGACGCTCGGCTTGGTGAATATTACGTGGTGAAAACAGAAGATGCAAAACTGCCAAAAAGATAAAGATTTAATAAACAAAACACAAAGAATCTAGGATATAACTCCAGACGCAAACCGAGACAAAACAGGGACAAAAACACAATGGACCAAGAACAAGGAGCACAGGGTTCAAACACACACAGACACACACACACACACGCACACACGCACACACACGCACGCACGCACACACACACGCACACACACGCACACACGCACACACACACGTGCACACGCATGCGCACACACACGCACACACACACACACACACACAAACAGCTTGAAAAGTTGTGTAGACTGAAGCTTCACTGGAGCCACAGCCGCCCCGCTCGATATTACAGTTGCCTCCCATCCAGATACTAACCTGCCCCTGCCTGGCTTAGCTTCTAAGATCTGACGAGACCTTGACAAGCTCGCATACTGTAACTATAACATAACAGTTATAGTTACTGTTTCTCACTGATGTCACATAAATTATATAAAAAGTGAGAAAGAAAAACCCATTTCCAGGGTTGTAAAATGTTGACACAACTTTAAATGTCAAATCTCTGTCATTGTCGTTGTGATTTTTAGGCTGAAATGTCCTCACTCCATCTCAACAGAAAACAGAAAATCAACCATTTTTTTCTTTAACATATCTGTATTTCGTCTGCTTTTCCTGCATCGGGCGGCACGGTGGCTGAGTGGTTAGCACTCTCGCCTCTCAGCGAGAAGGTCCTGGGTTCAAATCCCGGTTGGACCAGGGCCTTTCTGAGTGGAGTTTGCATGTTCTCCCTGTGTCTGCGTAGGTTTCCTCCGGGTGCTCCGGTTTCCCCTACCACTAAAAATATGTACAATAGGTCTGGCATGTGCCTCCTGTACTGGCCGCTTTGAGACTCCGATGTGCAGTGAAAAGGCGGTATATAAATAAAGATTACTTACTACTACTACTTACTTACATTGACCTGTGACCTCTTTGGTGTTGCATCACTTCGGCAAAGATCCCATTGAACTTGACTTTTAGTCCACAAACGTATCGTGTAGCCTGCACCGCTGCGGAGAATTAAATCAGACTGATGAAAACCAGACTGCAAAACGGAACATCTACAGCACTTAAACTACTCAAACTGTATCCAAAACCTTGAAAATATAGACAAGCTGTTGTCCACACACATCGGTCAGTCTGCGGGGACAAGACATATCAACGTGGAGGGTTACCTGGGGATAGACACAAAGTGGAAACGGAAAATTAACACGTGCAAACCTCACTCATTATCTCCACAAACGCCTCATAATTTAGACCCATCGCTCCCGTGTCCTTGTGTGTGACTGACAGGAGTTGTTTTACGTGTCCCAGCGAAGGCACGGAAGGACAAAAAGCCCCAATGGAACTCCCAGCCTTGCTCAAAGTTACCCATTAATGAGATTGATCTGGCGTTTTTTTCTCCTTCTGACTTACATTTCATAATTAAAGCCTAGCTGCCCTTTCAAAACCCCCGCAAACGGATTCTCAAATGAATTGCGCGACCTGTATCGAGCCCGTTTCAAACGCCAAGACGGAGCTAGTTAAGGCGTTATTAGGAGTGTTTTTAGTTCAGGCTACACCTCGGATGTGGTTTTGTGCGATTGGGAACTCTCTTGTTTCTGTATTGATTCTTGTTCGATGGTCAGGGAGTCCAGGGAGCACGAGGCGAATGATCTGTCAACGTGATTGGTCCGCCGGGAGCGCTAAACAACTTGATAGTACAGAAAGACAAGAGAAGTGATGCTGCGGATGACGGCGCAAAATGAGTTTCAAAACGGATGTCCGCCTAAAGGCAAACCGTAAAGTAGCGGGAGATCTCACCTCCACACAACCCAGAGCAATACTCCCAATTTAGTCACGCCGGAAAGAACGCTGGTATTGATCTAGCTTTCATGTTTCTTCTTTATGTCTTATTTACTGAGACGGCGGCCATTTTTATTGATATGCAGCGATCCAGGCTGTTTTCTCTCGCATCGCCCACGTTCTAATTATTCACAACAATGAGTTTACAAGCACAAGTTTCAGCAGCGGCGAAAACAAGAGACCACTCATGCTTGTTACTTTGGGGGAAGAAAAAGTGCTGGAGTTTTGTGTAGAACAGAGACACACAATGCGACGAGGTTGTAAAGTGCTCTAAAAAGGAAAAAGAATGTGTTGATTTATCGGTGGAGCCACAACAGCAGAGGGCGCTGTGGGAGTGACCTGCCCTTAGGGGTAAAAGAAGCAGTAATCATGGTTGAAGTGAGGCGCAGATACATACTGTTTTTTTTACTGTGTCGAGGATTTACTACATCCATCCGTTCATTTTCTTCCGCTTTATCCATTGCCGGGTTGCAGAGGCAGCTGTCTAAGCAGAGACGCCCAGACTTCTCTATCCTCACACACTCATGGCGAATATTTAGTTTTGCCATTTTCAGATCAGATTCAGATTCAGATTCATTTATTTGCCATTTGCAGTAAAACCACATTGGAAAAACTGTGCAAGACTACCCCAGTGTGCACCAGACGACACACACCAGAGCTCTTGCCACGGCGCCATCTTTACGGCGCCATGCGAGCAGTCAAGCAGATGATTCAATCAGGGAGCAGAATTGGGTCGCCAGTTTGTCAGGTGAAATTTAGCAGATAACCAAACAAAGGTTGTCAAAACACATGCAGTTCAAGCTAAACCCCAGCAGGTGGATTGCATCAGTAATCAGTGTCACAGGAAGATTCAGTCGGATTGCAATCGTAACAACGTTATTAGAGCGGTAAAAGTGCAAACAGTGCTTTCTGACTGCTAAGAAATGTCTGAGAAATTAAAGCAACAGTAAAATCACTAAATGGTTTTGTTCCACTGGAGAATCTTAAAACAGCAACAATTACCTCATATTTTATCCTTTTTTGCAGTTTATTACATATTACTCCTTTAAATAAACACAAATACATTATAGTTTAGTGCCATAGTGAAATACAGACCAAACTCCACAAATGTTAAGTTAGGACCTCTGTAGTGACCTCTGTAGTGACCTCTGCAGTGACCTCTGTAGTGACCTCTGTGGTGACCTCTGCAGTGACCCCTGTAGTGACCCCTGCATTGACTTCTGTAGTGACCTCTGCAGTGACCTCTGTAGTGACCTCTGCAGTGACCCCTGCAGTGACCTCTGTAGTGACCCCTGTAGTGACCTCTGTAGTGACCCCTGTAGTGACCTCTGCAGTGACCTCTGCAGTGACCCCTGCAGTGACCTCTGTAGTGACCCCTGCAGTAACCTCTGTAGTGACCTCTGTAGTGACCCCTGTAGTGACCTCTGTAGTGACCTCTGCAGTGACACTTGTAGTGACCTCTGCAGTGACCTCTGTAGTGACCTCTGCAGTGACTACTGTAGTGACCCCTGCAGTGACCTCTGTAGTGACCCCTGTAGTGACCCCTGTAGTGACCTCTGCAGTGACCTCTGTAGGGACCTCTATAGTGACCTCTGCAGTGACCTCTGCAGTGACCTCTGTAGTGACCTCTGTAGTGACCCCTGCAGTGACCCTTGCAGTGACCTCTGCAATGACCTCTGCAGTGACCTCTGTAGTGACCCCTGTAGTGACCCCTGTAGTGACCTCTGCAGTGACCCCTGTAGTGACCTCTGTAGTGACCTCTGCAGTGACCTCTGCCGTGACCTGTATAGTGACCCCTGCAGTGACCTCTGTAGTGACCTCTGTAGTGACCCCTGCAGTGACCCTTGCAGTGACCTCTGTAGTGACCCCTGTAGTGACCCCTGTAGTGACCTCTGTAGTGACCCCTGCAGTGACCTCTGTAGTGACCCCTGCAGTGACCCTTGCAGTGACCTCTGTAGTGACCCCTGTAGTGACCCCTGTAGTGACCTCTGCAGTGACCCCTGTAGTGACCTCTGTAGTGACCTCTGCAGTGACCTCTGCAGTGACCTCTATAGTGACCCCTGCAGTGACCTCTGTAGTGACCTCTGTAGTGACCCCTGCAGTGACCCTTGCAGTGACCTCTGCAGTGACCTCTGCAGTGACCTCTGCAGTGACCTCTGTAGTGACCTCTGTAGTGACCCCTGCAGTGACCCCTGTAGTGACCCCTGCAGTGACCTCTGCAGTGACCTCTGCAGTGACCTCTGTAGTGACCTCTGTGTTGTGGAGTATAAGATCCTTAAAGTTAAATCCGGGCGGCACGGTGGCACGGAGCACTCTCGCCTCTCAGCAAGAAGGTCCTGGGTTCGAATCCCGGTCGGACCAGGGCCTTTCTGAGTGGAGTTTGCATGTTCTCCCCGTGTCTGCGTAGGTTTCCTCCGGGTACTCCGGTTTCCCCTACCACTAAAAACATGTCCAATAGTTCTGGCATGCGCCTCCTGTACTGGCCCCGCTCCCATCTCTGTGTGGAGTGAGAGACAAGTGCCCATAATTAGCAATTGTAAACCGCTTTGAGACTCAGATCTGCAGTGAAAAGGCGGTATATAAATAAAGATTACTTACTAAAGATTACTAAAGAAAAGTAAACTTCTTGTAATGGACTTATTTTTTCCCTTTTTTGTCCAAACTAAACGTTCATATTGAGTTTGAGCGTCCGGTAAAGGGTAATAACACTCTGAACTCTGAACTCTGCCTCACACACACAATCTCTCCTGTTGGTTTATGGGAAGAGAGGCCAAAGAGGTCCCGTGTCTGAAGACCATGGTTTTTATAAGTGCAGAAAGTTCAACGATGGGTCAGAGATGAAGGTTTATGTCATTTGTCCTCATTTTAGACTCAGAACTTTAGATTTCACAAAATATGAACCATAAAGGATGAAGATAGAGTCAGTTTGTGGAGAACTTAATCTTAAGAATGGAACGTGTTTGAAGAGAAAACATTAGTCTACGTTTTTGTCACAAATTTGTATTCTTGTTCATACAATCCTCAAGTCGTTTTGTTGATACACTGCAAAAAATGATAATATATGAGGTAAAAAATGCTTGAATTGAGTGGTTTTTTTATCTTAATTTCTGACTGTGTTAAAACAAGATTCTCCAACGGGGAAAAAGCCATTTAGTCCTATTTCAAGAACTGTTGCTTTATTTTCTCATTCCAAGCGGGATTTCTTGTATCTTAAATTTTGAGCTATTTTTTGACTTGTTTCACTTTTTGCAGTGTAGGATGCAAAACGTATTTTCTAATAAAGGTCTTTAAGTGGAGACGATATTCTAAAAACATATGCACAACGTTAGCTAATAAAAAGGACGAATAATAATATTGCGTTTTTATGAATCAAATCTCTACCAAATCACAAAACTTGCTTTTTGATTATGTGAAATAATGGAATAATGGTTGTGAAGAGAGAAAAACCTCATATGAACCCAATCTGAATCTGATCTGGGAAAACATTTGAACATTTTCCTTTTCAACATTTTACTGCGAAAAAGTGTCAAAAATTTGGTAAAACGAGTCTTAATTTGAGCACATTTTGAGCGAGCCTTAAAACAAGATTTACCAACGGGACAGAGCAAAACGATCTTGTTAAAAAAAGTTGCAAGAAATGTCTCCCTTAAAACGAGAAAACTTCTGGAAATAAAAATAAATGATTGTGTTTATATATTTTATATTTGGATTTTATATTTTTATCTTTCTTTTTAATGCACTGTGATTATTATTTTATTGCTGTCTTGTCTTCTATCTTCTATCTTTGAGTGGCCTTGTGTATGAACTGTGCGATACTGTCATTGGGGAAATGATGAAAGTGAACCCAAAATCAAATGTAATTTAATAAAATGCAGATCCAGAGTGACAAAAAGAACTAAAATCCAGACCTGAAAGACTCGACCTGCAGAACAAACATGGACGGACATGTGGGGTAAGAGCACAGGGTGTAATACACAGCAAGACACAGGCTGGCTCACATTAGGGGCGGGGCTAACAAACAGGACCGACAGGAAGTAAACCCAGAATACAAGGGTGAAGAAACTAAAAAAGTCAAAATTAAACCATGGGGGGTGGGTGGGGGGGGGGGGGTGGGTTAAATCAAATCAAAAGAGTCCCACAACCAGACATATACGAAATGAAACTTGCTTTTGACTTTGTACCTTTTGGCAAAACTAGTTTAAAAACCAGTCAGAACTAGAAACTTGCAATGGCTGAAGCCATTGCGATTGACTGCGGAACAGATCTAATGTGGAAATCTGCTAAAAAAAATCCTTGAAATCCTTTAAAAGGCCTTGAAACTGTTAAAATACTTGATAGATATTTGAAACTCCTGAAGTCCTTGAAATTGTTGAAACCTTTAAACTCCTGAAATCCTTGAAACTGTTGAAACATTGAAACTCCTGAAATCCTTGAAACTTTTTTTAAACCTGGAAACTGTTGAAAGTGTGGAAACTCCTGAAATCCTTGAACCTCCTGATATCCTTGAAACTGGTTAAATTCTTAAACAGTTGAAATCCTTGAAACTACTGAATGTATTGAAAGTGTCCTTGAAACTGAAAAATCCCCTCACCGCTGAAACAATTTGGTTCCTGTAACTAAGGAAACCTGGTCTGTGGTCATTATCTGGTGGTGGTCTGAGTCTTCGTTTGGGTCTTGGTCTGGTGGTATAATGCAACCTATTAGGTTGCATTATACTGGTTTACATGGAAAAATCCCTATTAGGTTGCATTATACTGGTTTACATGGAAAAATCCCTATTAGGTTGCATTATACTGGTTTACATGGAAAAATCCCTATTAAGTTGCATTATACTGGTTTACATGGAAAAATCTCTATTAAGTTGCATTATACTGGTTTACATGGAAAAATCCCTATTAGGTTGCATTATACTGGTTTACATGTACAAATCCCTATTAAGTTGCTTTATACTGGTTTACATGTAAAAACCCCTATTAGGTTACATTATAGTGGTTTACATGTAAAAATCCGTATTAAGTTGCATTATACTGGTTTACATGTAAAAACCCCTATTAAGTTCCATTATACTGGTTTACATGTAAAAACCCCTATTAAGTTCCATTATACTGGTTTACATGTAAAAAACCCTATTAAGTTGCATTATACTGGTTTACATGGAAAAATCCCTATTAAGTTGCATAATACTGGTTTACATGGAAAAATCCCCATTAAGTTGAATTATACTGGTTTACATGGAAAAATCCCTATTAAGTTGCATTATACTGGTTTACATGGAAAAATCCCTATTAAGTTGCATAATACTGGTTTACATGGAAAAATCCCCATTAAGTTGCATTATACTGGTTTACATGTAAAAAAACCCTATTAAGTTGCATTATACTGGTTTACATGGAAAAATCCCTATTAAGTTGCATTGTACTGGTTTACATGGAAAAAACCCTATTAAGTTGCATTATACTGGTTTACATGGAAAAAACCCTATTAAGTTGCATTATACTGGTTTACATGGAAAAAACCCTATTAAGTTGCATTATACTGGTTTACATGTAAAAACCCCTATTAAGTTTGCATTATACTGGTTTACATGTAAAAATCCCCATTAAGTTGCATTATACTGGTTTACATGTAAAAAACCCTATTAAGTTGCATTATACTGGTTTACATGAAAAAACCCTATTAAGTTGCATTATACTGGTTTACATGGAAAAATCCCTATTAAGTTGCATTATACTGGTTTACATGGAAAAATCCCTATTAGGTTGCATGATTACACTGAAGTCCTTGAAACTGCTGAAGTCCTTGAAACTGCTGAAGTCCTTGAAACTGCTGAAGTCCTTGAAACTGTTGAAGTCCTTGAAACTCTTGAAATCTTGAAACTGCTGAAATCCTTGAAACTGTTGAATCCTTGAAACTGTTGAATCATTGAAACTGTAGAAATGTCTGAAAGAGCTGAAGTCCTATTAAAATGCATGGGCCTATTAAAATGCATTGCAGAATTCTCAATGCAGATTTTTGTCCGATTGCGGAAAAACCGGAAATCGCTGAAGTCCCAAAAGTAATAGCAATAATCTCCCAAACATGTGGAACGTTTTGATGTATAACTTGTGGAAATTGTTGAAAATGTGAAAGCTGTGAAACGTGTCAAAAAAAATGACGGAATAAAGAAATACAAAACCAATGGTTGACTGCGGAAGGTTCCGCAGTCAATCAATAATAACTAAAACTTGCAATGGCTGAAGCCATTGCGATTGACTGCGGAACAGATCTAATGTGGAAATCTGCTAAAAAAAATCCTTGAAATCCTTTAAAAGGCCTTGAAACTGTTAAAATACTTGATAGATATTTGAAACTCCTGAAGTCCTTGAAATTGTTGAAACCTTTAAACTCCTGAAATCCTTGAAACTGTTGAAACATTGAAACTCCTGAAATCCTTGAAACTTTTTTAAACCTGGAAACTGTTGAAAGTGTGGAAACTCCTGAAATCCTTGAACCTCCTGATATCCTTGAAACTGGTTAAATTCTTAAACAGTTGAAATCCTTGAAACTACTGAATGTATGAGGAGGAGGGTGGTGGTGGTGGGGGCCGAGGGGGCTGCGATGTAAACAGTCACGCCCCCCTCGGGGAGCACTGAATAACATGGCGTAAATAGTCCATAAATAAACTGGTGCCGTATCTGTTCGGGTGGAGACCATCTGGACGATATGCCACATGCCGTTTCCAGAACAGGCCAAAGTTGTTCACAAAAACAAAGTTAAAAGTTCTACATGCAGTCTGGAGCCACATGTTTAGCGCCACAACACGGCTGTACAAGCAGTCACCCCGGTTTACAGTCGGAATTGGGCCAGAGATAAAAACAGACAACCCGGAGGACTGGAGCAGGCGGAACAGATCCATAAAGTGCTTCTTTGTTACTTCTGACTGCTGAAGTTTTATGTCGTTGATCCCCACATGCACGACTACCTTTGAAATAGTATCGGGCAGGGAGTGAAGCAGAGGAGGGAGACGGATGAGCAGGTCCGGGACAGTTGCTCCGGGAAAACAGCGAGTGACCGCGTTAAAGAAGCGGACGTGTCTCATGATGGAATCTCCAACTATCAGAGTGGTCGGGGCAAAGAGTGGACGTGGACGCAGAGAGGGCGCCCGGTGTACGGATTTAACGGGCTCATCCGAAGCAGGATCAGAACCTGAGCGCCGCTGAACACATGGAGCGGAACAGCGGTGATGTTTACTCTCAGCTCCGGGCGACCCACG